AACCTTTGAGCAAGCAACACACCCAAATATAAGGGCAGAGAGTGAAAGAACATATGGGGGACAGAAAGGGACATTTTAGTTGATAGCATACATCCTCCACTGAGAATAATGGCTGACAGAATGAGCACACCCTCTCAAGCAAGGAAGGACCAAGGGTGTCATTAATGAATACACAAAACTCAACTTTGCATCACATTCAAAAGATGGGTTCTCTTTGTTCCTCCCTATCCAGGTGGGTGAATGACTTTAGTGTAGAGTCTGTTTGCTCTCACTGAAAACTTCAGTTAGGCAATGAATTATTCCAAGTAAATTAAGTGTATCGATCCCCTCCCCTTTCTGACACTTTGTAGATATTGCTATCAAATCATGCTTCGTGCAATTGTCAGTTTTTGCCACAGACATCTGAAGGAGGGAGCAAATATTCACTTGAGTTTCTCAGCATTTAATAAGTACTTAGGGGTACAGCTCAATTTGGGGAGACCAGGCAACAGCAGAGTCTTATGATGAGACAGATGGTCAACTTTATAGACTTAGCAAATGTAGCTGATGAAAACAGGGTGATGAGTAGACTCCTTGTATTCTGCAAGGTCATGGTTCATGTCTTCACTCTGGCCAATTTTCATACAAAGGCACAAAGATCAGAACAAAGACCAGGCAGAAGAGTTTGGATAAAAATTGTCTGAAAAAACAACCAGATCACATACCCTGGGAATAGAAGGCAGAAAAAATATTTTTATCAACTGTAGAGTTAGTCCCTTTCAAAGTGAAGATGTGCATCATTTCATCAGGATCTCAGTTCAGATTTGCTTCTGCCGGCACCTTGATCTTGGTCTTCCAGCTTCCAGAACTAAGAGAAATGAATTCCTGGGCCACCTAGTTTATGTTATTCTTTTATAGTAGCCAAAACTAACACAACAATCAGAATAATAAGGTGACTCAACCATTACTAAATAATAAATTCTTAGTCTTCCAAAGGTAAAAAATCATTCTCTGTAATACCTAGTTGTGCTGTTATTTCTGACCAAAATCTCTCATATAAGGCTGTTGAGTATATTCTAAGGATGATTTGCCTAAAGATAAAAGTCTAAAGGTGAACAGTCTGGCCCAGAGAGCTAACACACATATAATAAAGTATTATTTTCATCCATATTATCTCATAAGAAAACACTTATGGATGAAAGGATATCTGAATTTGCTTCAAAATAATACAGTGAGATGGGAAGAAGCAGGAATGATAGAGGAAAGCAACTTAGCCATAGCTTGAGCACTGTTGGACTGGGTGATGGTACACGGGGTTCTAATAACAGTGGTCCTCAAATGTAGGAAGGTACCGGAGTCCCACCTCAAAGATTCTGATTCAGGAGGTCTGGAATAAGGTCTACGGGTTTGCATGGCAACAAGTTCTCAGTGGATGCTAATGCTGCTAGCCCAAGGACCCCATGCTGAGAAACACTGCATTATATTTACCCTCTGTTTTACATGATCAAAAAAAATCCAAATCAAGTGGAGCTGTACTCAGCTGGCACAACAAAACAAGACGCATGAGAAAGCACCTCTGCCCCTGCCTGCTGCCAATCCCAGACAGTCAGCAGCTGAAAAAGATGAAGAGACACAAGCCCAGAAAAACACTGAACCATCAACTCAATTCAAATTGGACCTAGTGTGGAAAAATTAATGTTGTTTTTCCTCGTTTACTTTGAACCTATGTCTATATAATTGTTATAGAGTATGATAGATTCTCAGCTGGTATGGGAATGTGTAGTTAAGCAATATGAATAACAAGGGTTTCTTCTAACATTTTTTAACACAATACTTACAGTTAGATGGTGATTTATACAGATTGATGGCACTACCTCCCACATTTGCCTGAGACTCAAGTTGGACTCAAAATGTACAGTCAGAAATCTTTCTCTCCAGCACTCTCCTCACACAGATGTACCTAGTTCCAGAAGACAGATATGCATTTCCTGGATCTAGTTACATCCAAAAGCATCAGATGATGAACGGATAGTTTCAGACTTAAGACTGGGTGGTCACAGGAAGGACACCAGAAGTGTCAACTGAATCTTATTTCTTTTAAACTCCATTTAGCAAACAATTACTGTGTCCCAGGCAATGTGCTCTCTATACTCTGGGATATGCAAATATAAATCTTTAAAAAATTGTCCTTGGCCCTGAAGATCTCACATGTAGTTTAGAAAGTAGACAGATGAATAGTTACAGTATTAACAGCTATATAACAAGAGATTATACGAATGCTATAAAGACCTATTCACTTTTGACTGAGGGGAAAAAGAAGTGAAATAAACATTTTTATGGACAGCATTTGCTATAGTTTGGATAAATCTCCCAAACGACCATGCTAAAGGTTTGGTGCTTAGGGTGGTGCTGTGGGAGGTGATGGAGTTTGATGGGAGGTTCTGGGGTCACGAGGCAAGCCCTTGAAAAGTATGGGGAATTCCAGACCCTTCCCATTCTTATTTGCTTCTGGGCTCGTAAGGGAGCATTTTTGTCCCGTCATGTGCTCCTGCTATGAAGTGCCGCCTCACCACAGTTCAAAACAATGAGGCCAACTGACCACAGACTACAACCTCCAAAACTGAATAAAGAAAACCTTTTCCCATTTTAATCTGATTATTTTAAATACTTGCTACAGTAAGGGAAAGTTGACTAGCATGGCATTCCAGATGGTTCTGCAGCAAGGAGCATCCATTTGTTAGACAAAGGGATAAATGAAGAAGGAAAAGCATGCCGGAAAGAGGAAATAGTACGAGAAAATATGCCAAAGCAAAAGTGGCTGCTATGTCTAATCAATAAAGCAATTTGGCAAGACTGAGGTTTAGGCTGTAAAGGAGGAAGCTGGTGATGAGACAGGAAAGGCATATTCCTTTGACCCAACCTATGTATTATGATAAAAACAAATTATGCTTTACAGTGGAGACTGCTGTTGACTGAATTGTATATCCCCCTAAAATTTATATTTTACCTTATCCCTCAATGGGATGAATTTGGAAATAGAGTATTTAGGAAGTGACTGAGGTTTAATTAGGGCATTAGGATGAGGGCCCAAGTCCAGTAGATTTGGTGGTTTTATAAAGACAGTGATGCCTTACAACCAAAGGAAGGCCAAATGAATGCATAATGAGAAGAGAACTGTCTGCAGTCCAAGAAGAAAACCCTCACCAGAACCTGTCCATGCTGGCACCGTGATCTTGAACTGCTAGCCTCCAGAACAGTGAGATAAACATTTCCTGTTGTTTGAGCCATTAACCTATGATATTTTGTTATGGTGGTCTGAGCCAGCTAAGACAGGGACCATCTACATTTTCAAGCACAGAGAAGATACTGAATGTCAGTCATATGTGGCAAATACAGGCTAGATGGTGGAGGGAGTCTTGTTAATCTGGAGATTACCTTATTCTTCAAGTAGACCTGACTGAAACCTGGTCTAGGATGAGGAGGTCAGAGTATTTGAACAGGAAGCACATTGCCAGCCTATTTATTTCAAACTTATGTACGTGTATAAGTATGTATATAAAGCTTTGTATACACATAAACTTATATAACTTTGTATGTTATAACTTTTACATTGTATATATGCAGTTACATATAATTTTATAATGTGAGAACACAAAGGAAGAACATAGCATGCAATAAATAGAAAAGAGACAGTAAACTTTGTCACTGACAATGAAAGCTTACGGACTTGGAGTAAGATGCAGCTGTTCCCTTGGCTGCCATAAAAATTTACTAATTTATAACACAGGACTAGAGTGTGTCAGGGTTGGAGCAACGGGTGGGAGAGGGACATAGAAAAGAATAACAGAGAAAAAGAATAAATGCAGTATAATTTCTCTTACTTTGAATACCACAAATGAGTCATATAACTGGAATTTCACTGTCTTCCAATATTTTCCACATAATTAGCCTATTCATACACACAAAAAGAGCACATAGCATACTCTGAAATGATACTTGACCTGTTCCAAGGCCTGAGGCAGAATGCTGAGGCTTGCCTTTGCTGCCATCCCCAGGGCTGAGATGCAGGTCTTGGCCTATGAATTCAGCCAGCCATGAGGCAAGGTGCTGGGGGCACTGCCACCTCCTTTCATAACGTTACTCATATCTTTTCTTCCCTGTAAAGTATACACTCTTCAGCCCTTTGCTGAGGGAGATAATGCTGCTCCCATGTGAATTGACTACCCAGTGCCCTGCATGTATGAGTGTGTCAAGGCTAAACAGGTCTATTGTTCTTTAGCAGTACTGCCAGAGAATCGTATTCTTGTGCAGAACTATGCCAAGGAGATAAAAATATCTTTCATTTCTATAGTGCCATGCATCTTAAAGTGTGCTCCACATTTTGCAAACTATATATAGGCTCAATTCATTACCCAGCACCATAAAATACAGCCAGAGCAATGGCAGGCACATGCCAGATGTTTGACAATGGTTTAATAACAGAGTGAAGAATAAGTTAAATTGGATTCAGAAAACAGAAAATGAGATGTGGGGCACTAGGTAAAACTTGTCTATTCATTCACTAGTGTGTGTGTTCTGCCTACCAGAGTATAAGCTGGGGACACAGGTGAACTAGAGAAACACTTCCTACCCTCGTAGGACTGACAAGGTATCAGAGAAGATACATGATTAGACACATTTTACATTAAAATATGATTCACATTAAGATGGAGAAAGCACCGAGGACTTCAATGTCTTTAAATTAAATCTTCCACTTAGCCATTCAGGCATCCTCCTCCTCTACACTAATAAAAGGTTTATAACCAATGCAATGATAGGATTTATGTTGAAAAAAAGGTATTCTGGAACCCAGAATCCAGGCTTTGAGCATGGATATGAGCATGGTGCTGAAAAAAATAAGGAATGGAAACACATTGGTTGAGTAAATTGGGGAAAGACCAAAGGCACTCAGAGAAGAATGGAAATAAAACAGTTTGAGGAAACATGAAGACTCATGGAACTGCAGATTTCTATGCCATTACCTGTTTTCTTGGGGGTAGGAAGTGATCACTCAAAATATCCTGCCTTAATCATGGATGGCATTGGAGAAGCCCTTCCAAATCTTTCCATGTTGAAAGCTGTGGCCTCTGAAAAACAGACAATAGGATTTAGGGGTTTACAAAGACCTCAAAGATCCTACCAAACCAGTCACTGTATAGGTGAAGAAAGATGTGCCCAGGTTTGTTAAATGTCTGCAATACCTAGCAATGGTCAGAGCAGACTCAGGCCCAAAGGGTCACCCTGACCTCCTGAACTGGACCCTGTCTTGGAAGAATCGGTGAAACAGACATCTTACTCTTTGGGGATGCTTCTAAAATGCTAAATATCTGGTGGTTTTCACCTTTTCTACCACAATAAAGTGACCAACCACAATCAAAGGGTTATAATCTACCTATACTATTGATGGCTAACTTATGGCACGCATACAAAGTGGGCTGTTTATCATTAGAAACTCTAAAAGGTTTGCGCCATCACTGAATATGAACAAGAAATCTGGCTCAGAGAAATGAGAAAGGAATAAACTGGATGATTGTGACTGCCCAGGTCAGATGGCTGCACCATCTGGTCTCTGGGAGTTTGGTGCCTTATTAACTTACCCAGAAAGACAGTCAGGTTACTCTGAACTCCCAACAGAGGCCTGTTCAAAATGTGTTAAATTTCTGGGTAAGGTTTTAACCAGTACCGGATAGATGAAAAACAAAAAGAAAATGTGGTTTATAATGTTTCTGTGCAACAAGTATTGTCAAGAGACATCAAGCGGGAAACTCTCCGCTGGTGATGAAAAGAGTTACTCCCTGTCTTTATCTTGTTAATGGTACAGAAGGACACACAAGACAGAGGAGGCCAGACCCAGGCTCAAGGATGGGGTTCTGCAGCTTCTCGCAAAGCCTAGGGCAAGCCCACCTAGAAGGTCTCATCTAGAAAGTAAAGTTCAGACAGATGACCTCCAGGGCAATTTCTCTGTCTTATTAAAATGCCAATAATATGTCTTATTTTTAAATTCCAGTTGTGCATATGTGTATAGCTCTGCCCAAGTAGAGGACACACTTTCTAATCGTGAAAATTCATGTATTCATTCCACATGTCTGCAAGAACCCAAACGGCCCTTTACACAAACTAACAGAATAATTAATGTTATTGATTCTGGATTGACACAAAGAAAGTCTCTGAGAGGTAGGGATGAGCCGGGGTCTGAAGGGTCTGTCCGAACACCAGCCTTCTCTCTGCACTGAACAACAGTGCTCCTTATTCCTGCACAGGACCCAGAACTTTGAGTCTCCTTTGTTCCAGATTTCACGGGAGAACAGGGTGTGGACGTTACTGAGGGGGGAAGCCTTGCAGTTTGTAAGTTCTTGGCCAGCAAGCTGCTCTCATTCTCTGTGGGCTCCAATTTCCACGCTGCTCTATCCCACTCCTTGCTGCTAGCCAAGTTGGGAGTGGAGGGGGAGAGGGGTACAGAGAACACAGCACTGAGCCCTGAAGGCCTGGGCAGGGCCGTGGGGACTGAGGAAGTCGGCTTCCCGGGATACAAGCCTGGAGAAGAAACGCTGGAGAGGATGCCACCTGCTGGCGAGGGACCCCGGCTTGCACGGCGGGAGCTACAGAGACCTGAAGCCTCGGTGTGCAGAAAACCACAATTTGGGCGCTTTTCCAAGTTGCTGGTTTTCCCCTGTCTCCTTAGGGCTGCCAGCTCCACCGGCTGTGCAGACAGACCCGTACCCCGCGCGCCACCCCCAGGGGCGGAAGTTTCCAGCAGGTCGTTTCCCTCGCAGCGCACTCCGAGGTCTGAGGATTCTCCGCGCTTCTCCATCAGGTGGAGCCGTGCGCTCCGCGCTGCCTCCTCCCTCCTAGCGAGCGAACCGCGCGCAGGCCACCTCGCAGCGCCAGGAGGTTAACCGAGCCCCCGGAGGAGGTGAGGCCACG